TCTAAGGTACACTCGGACTAAATCCTCTAGACCCCGAACAGCCTCTATTAGGTTGACAAGTCTTCTGCCTTCATCTGTCACCGGTTGTATACCTTGTCGGACCACTCCCGCTTCCCTTGCCAGGCCGTGTAGATGGCGAGCTGCCTTCTGTACTTGATCCAGGAAATCTCGGATAACTGCGTCTCTGGCTTTCACCCTTTGTTGTGCTTGCTCCCATCGGAAACGCCACTGCAAACCCCCGTCGAAGGGCACTATCTGAAGGTCAATCGCTTGCTTTTTGAAGCTATTGCTTTACCATCTTTCTCATGTTGTTTCTCCAGATCAACCATTTGGATTCTCAGGAGTTATCCTTGACTTTATCTTGGTACCCCTTTCTCAAGTCTTCAAGCTCAAAATAGACTCTTTTTTGTTCCCTTTCCAGTTTGTCTGCTCTATCTTTCTGAGAATCGGCATCTAGTTTCCATTGATTACGTTTAGCTTCAAGTTCCTTAACTCTCTATTTCAGCTCATTATTCACAGCTTCAAACTCTGTCTTGACTATCTCAAGTTCAGAAGGGATAGGCCTGAGATGTTCCTCCATGGTCCGGGTGTCTTCACAGTCTGGCATCGGAATGCTATCATTCTTTCTCAATCTTCGCCACTCCATATAATCCGGAGTAAGCATATCTCTGGCAGCCACGATATCTATCTGGGATACTTTCTTCCATGACTCGGCTGCCTCTTTGATCCTCTTCTTATAACTGTCACCGTGATACACAAACTCTGATGTAGATAATTCGTATATTGCTGGGATAAACTGACGTGCCCCATACTGTCTAACTGCCAACAACGGAGCATACCCAACTGCACCCCAAAGTCCAAGTAAGGCCATAGTGTCAGAATCCCCAAATCGAAAAAGAACATCACTGAGGAACAACCAAGGGGCTCTCCAAGTTATATCCCGGTCCTGAAGATGAGTGAAGACCTTCATCTATTCTTCCTTCGAAGCGCCTTCATGCCATTTCATAGTGATGAACTCTCCCGATGGTGAATAGGTAGTGCTGAATCGGCGGTAGGCAACCCCGTTAGTCTTCCAGAAGTGGCTGTGAATCCAGACTTGAAGGAGCTGAACACATCCAATGAACCTTCCTCCACCAGTTCTTCTGCAATGATTAAGAGACCGAAAGGTCTCGGCTAAGATGGTCGGCGCTGGGTTGACTCGCCTTGGAAGTTATTCAAATAGTTCTACTACGGCTGCATCGATGCACCCCAAGGTCTTCGGAAAGATAATCAAACCGTACAGACCCAGTGCAAAAAGATCTATAGTCTTCCATTCATCAGGGTGGTTCTTCATTAGTTGCTTTATATGGATCCACTCGATTCCTTCCCCGCTACCTTTGTGTCGGAGTCGATCAGTCACCCACTTTTCATCAACCTCTACAATCTTGGCCAGTCTGTTCTTAAAAGGTTGACCCTTGATATGTTTGATATATGTCTTCTCTAGTCTGATGCTTTCGCAGTGCAGTAGTGTGGTATACTCTTCGATAGTGGGCACCATGTCCTCCCGGTTAAAGGTGAAGCAACTATATCCCGGGTTCCATAATTAAATCAGTGCTCAGAACAGGGGCTCATCAGTCTTGACATGAAGTAAGAGGGCAATATCACCATACCGTTGGCTGAACTTATGCTTTCTGTCATTCTTCCAACTGTCCCAAATGTTTCGCAACTCTTGGTGATTATTCTGTTTCAGGCTGACAGCGGCGTAACTAACCAGTTCTGACACATAGTTCCCCTGAAGACTGTCTCCCTTCTCTTTATGAGCCTTCTCGGACCATAGTCGTGCCTCAGCGTTTTCAATCTCTTGTATTACAACACCTTTGTCCATTAATTCGAATTATTTTGTGTATAACAAACGCTTTTTAGGGATCAATAGCCTCTTGTAATGATACAAATGCTAGAAAACAAACACAAAGGAAAAAACATTAGTAAAAAATAAAAACAAACGAAAAAAATGACGGAAGAAAAAAAAACACAAAAAGACATGGTTAAGGTAAAAAAACAATCTTAGGTTTTGGAACGTGGTTTTGGGGTAGGCTCTATTTCTCCATGGTCTCCCGGTTTAGGTTTTAAAAAACGGTACCCGAGTTCTCCTTGCCGGTGCCCCCTTGGGCTTGCCAGACCCTTAGTCCTAAACCCATCACAGGTTTGTGTGGACTAAGTTAAACTCGAGAGGAAACATTCCCTTATGCCCACACGGAGAATAAATTCACACGAAGGCATAAGGTATATGTATCTCGAAGGCTACTTGCTAGGCCCATACGGTGAATAAATTCACACGAAGGCGTCGCTTTCACCCCCACTTAAAAGGAATTGGAGCTCGGGTATAGAGCCTTAGATGAAAAAAAAACTTTGAAGGCTGAAATCATGAGAAAACGATTAGTCTAACTATTTACTCGAAAATATAATCAAAAGTAAGTAAAAAGGATCGGAATATTACCTTAAAATTTAAACTTACCCTTTTCGTTAAAAAGACAACTGGAAATTACCTTAGCCTGACTCACTTACCTGTGTCCCCAGCGGAGTCGCCAAGCTGTCGTAACCGTCTTTCGGTTGGTTCCCGGAATTGGGCTTCGACTTGAAAAATGTGATTGGAGTCGCCACCGATTATTTATTTAAAAAAATAAATAGGTTAATCGGATACCTTATATCTTACCTGATCTGCGTCTTACCAAAGATATGTCGGATTCGGGAGTCGGTTACGGTCAAGGAAGGATTAGCACCCTTGAACCGCCCTTTCGGTACTACGTAATTTTCAGTTGTTTTTAATTAAGAAAATCGAAAGTTAAAATTTAAAGGTAACATATGATCCAAAATTACTTACCTCCGATCAATTTGAAAGAGTACCCTTAAAAAGTCGAGAAACGCGTTAAAGGAAAAAGGAAATAAGAGTAAATGAAATAAAGAAAATAGAAGGAAAAAAAATAAAAAAAATGATGAAAAACTAAAAGAGGAATAAAAACATATAATTATTAAGTACAAAATAATAATAATGATAATAAGTAGTAAAATAAAAAACGCAATCACACCAAAAAAAGTAAAAAAAAAGTCAAGGTTTGGTGAAGTATAACTGTCGGGAAGGAAAAAGACGATAAGGGGTGGAACTGTAGTTAATAAATGAGTGTGATGTATCCCTATAATATAGTAAGAATGAATAAACAAAAAACATTATGATATAATATATATATATATATATATATATATATATATAATAAATATAATAACAAAAAAAATAATTTAATAAAGTAAAATAATAATAATGTAATATAATATAAATACATGAAAACAAAAAAAATAAGAAGTATAAAATATAAAAATATAATTAAATGTATATATATGCATATGTTTAAAAAAAGTAAAAATAAAAATAAAATACAATAAAAAATATACATAAAATGATAATAATAGTAGCAAAAGAGAAAAATATATTTATATACGTTAATAGTAAAATAATAATAAATATAATAGTTATAAATATATATATATATATATATAATAACTTTAAAAAAATATTAAAATAATATTAGAATAAAAATAATTAATATATATATATATACTTAATAATACGATTTATCAAAAAGAAATAAATAAAAATATGAAAATAATACATAAGGGACCGTTCATCGACGACAAACCTTTCCTTCGTTTTAAATATCCTAGTATTTTTCCAAAGCGGCATCAGAGTTGTGTAGATCTAAAAGAAAAGGTTTCGAACGACAACACCTTTTCCTCGGCCAAAACTGTTTTTTTCAAGCACAAAGACGAATAACAACACATGCAAGTGAAGAAAAGAATGCGAAAGGTAAAAGCTTTCACCTTTTATTGCTTCTGAATTGTTTACAATAGCTTCAAAACAATCTATTTGCTCGTATTTTTTCTGGTAATTTCGTATGCCAATCGTGTGTTACAATAGTGAGCTACAATGGCTATTTATAGTGCTTGTGGATCCTATCTTTAGGAGTTTAAAACATAGCAAAATTCTATCCTATTTTAGGAGTTGAATCATAGCAGAATTCTATCCTATTTTTGAGAGTTTGAATCCTAGTAGGACGAAAAGGTGTGTTAACAGGTAGAAATAATAATGTTTCCAGTAATTTTTTATCGGAAATGTTAAAAAAATAATAATAAAACCGATAACATATTTCCTTAATCGTATATTAAGACTGTCGTACGGTAGAACTTCTCCGGACTATCCTTAGATAGAAGGGTAGAGTGATCCTCTTCCTTCTTTCCCCTATATCAGTTAAGCTCAATATGAATTTTACGCCCAAATCAATCGAATCCACCACATACTGTGCAACGGACTCTCAAGTTGTACAACAACAATGTACTTGTTCCCAATAGCGATTTTGATTGGCTTTATACAACAAAACGCTTGCCTACTGTAGGTTCCCTTTGTTAATTTCTTACAACCTGTTCTGTATTTGTTGATCTCTGCTCCTCAGCCCAAGCAAAGTCGATTTTCTCAAGGTTTCCTATCAACTTGAGTTCACCAATTCAATTATTACGGAAAATTGTTTTGTATGATATCGTAAAATACAAGTTGCAGGCTCTATGCATGGCTTCTTAAGAAAACTCAAGAAAAAAAGTGATTAACGCGTGTTTTTGTCACGTAATTGTTACTGAGAAAACCAATTACTATATGTTTATTAAGATAAATCATTAGTATTAAGAAAACAAAACCACTTCATCATAAATCACGATCCCAAAATCAAATTCATTTTAATTGCTATGGTTGTGAAATATAGAATTCTCTAATAAAGAATGAAAGGTTTAGAGAGAAACGTCTACTTGTTTTATTAGTTGAAGCTCTAATATCTCTAAAAGAGACGAGCTTATTTATTTATATCAGATAGAGTCGAGTTTTGTTTATTAAGCCTAATCAGCCTCTTAACCAATTCCACCCTGTAGGAAAGCTGAAGGAATACAACAGACCGTCACAAATACATAAACCAAATAACAGTTTAGTGGTATTGGTCCGAGTTAGAGAGTCGAGCAAAGTGCATGGCGACAAGTGGTTCCATTTTCTTCAAAACAATTCCAAATTTCTCTTGCACATCAGGCTTCATCCCCTCTGACAATTTCCATTCAAATGAATGGACCAACACAGCCAGGAGGAGCCGCGCCATTTTGTCACCCATTGCAAGTCCAGCACAAGTTCTCCTCCCCGACCCAAACGGAATGTACCTCATATTATTCCCTTGATAACTAATGTCGCCTTTCAAGAATCTCTCGGGCTGAAACCCAAGGGGATCTTCCCAAAACTTAGGGTCCCTTTGCATGGCCCATGCATTAATGAAAACTCTGGAACGTTTAGGGATGGTATATCCAGCAACAATTGTGGTCTCGCTGGGCATGTGAGGCAAAAGCAAGGGAGCCACCGGATGAAGCCGAAGCGTCTCCTTTACAACAGCATCCAAATAGAGCAGTCGAGGAAGATGACACTCTTCCACCATGTTTTGGTTTCCGGCAACCATATCTAATTCTTGGACGAGTTTTGTCATTTTATCTGGATGACGTAGTAGTTCGGTCATTGCCCACTCTACAGTAGTGGGTATTGTATCCGTACCACCAATCATCATATCCTGTCCACGGATATTAGTATAGTAAAATTTTAGTTTCATTACTAATAATTATAATAATCTGGACAAAGTAAAACATAATTTATAGAAAGAAGAAAAACAAAATCCAAAATTGTTTGGACATTAATTACCAAAAGCAAAGCTTTTATTTCGTAGTCGGATAAAGAGGTTTTATCATCTCCTGTCTGGTTCATCTCCAACATCAACTGGAGAAAGTCCTTGCTTCCATCATCTCTAATCTTCAATCGGTTCTTAATCACTGATTCAAATATCCCATAAAACCACAGTATGATATTCTTCGATTTTGATTCAATTCCTTGAAAATCAAATGGGGCAAGAACTGGTAAAATATCAGAAACATTTGGTGATCCCATTAATCTCGTAAGTTCATCTAATCGCGTCCTCATCTCAGTCAAATCACTGCTTGTTTCTGACGAACCACCCCATAGTGTGCTTATCATCACTTTTACAGTCGTTAGCGATAATTGCTCAATGATATTAACAGAAGAACCAATTTTCCGGTGAAGATCCTTCACCATTTGTCCAATCTCACGTCGACGAAGCGCGTAGCATGCATCGAGGCTGCTTTTGCTCATGATTTCACGAACAACAAGCTTACGCATCCGGATGTATTCGGGGCCATTTTGTCTCCATGCGATGTTGAGGCCACCGAATGTGCCGAATATGGTGGCTGCCGGTGTATCACGGTTGGCGAAGATAGCATCTTGGTCTTTGAGGACCGCTTTGGCAATAGAAGGTGAATCTATGATTATACAAGTCTTTGTCCCGAGCTGAAGTTTGAAGATGGGACCATAGGTTTCAGATAACTCCCTAAAGTAACGATGCAATTCAGGTTTGATGAAAGGAAGGTTTCCTAAGATAGGCAAGCCTGGTGGACCAGGTGGCAGCGGAGGGTTTATTTTGGTGCTAGCCCACCACCGTGCAAAACCGAAAATTGCTAGCGCCGCCGCCATTAGAGTAGCAACGGTTTTGGTGGTGGGGTGGGCATGGCAGGCAAGAAGTATAGCATTTTCGTATATGTTGAGCATCATCGCGTATCGGGCTTACGATGATCGAAAGTAGAAGCCAAGGACTTATGCAGCTCTTTACAAGGAGGAGGTATTTATATAGTAAAACGGAGTAGACAATGACATCCTGTTATTTTCTTACATCATGCATCTTTGATATTCGTTGATTTTTTGCCAAATTTATCAACATTCAAAGTTTGATTTGAGGAATCCAATTTAATTATTACAGAAAATTGTATTGCATGTAATCTTAATAACGCTTAAAATCCAGGCTCATGCATGCGAACTCCATTACCTGAAACTCGCATCCAGTTCCAATAAAAACGTCACACTCCAACCTTTCTTCACCAATAAAAACCTTCACCAATAAAACTTGTGTTATCTTAGAACATCAAAATTACAAGTAGCTTGGTCCAACGGCTTTGAGCACGTCATAGTGTAGACAGAAAACACTAGCGTCATTAGCATCTGACTCTTTAAGAAATACAAGTTTCAAACTCAAATTAAATTTGTTCTCCACCCGAAGAGATGGTAAAATCCGAATTGCCTTATAAATATTCAACTCATATTAAATTTTTTCCTCCATCTTTCTCTTTGATTACCATCTAAAGTTTTTCATGGGCACAGTATCATGTGATTTGAGCTGTTGAAAAGCAGGAGCCATGTGGTGAAAACTCATGGCGTTGAAGATCGAGTCCTTGACCTACAACGTGCACTTGATATTATGTCTCAAATAAGACATTGAAATGAAGAACCCTACAATTCCAGAACTACATCTCAACAGAATCTGAATCTTTTTAACAGTTTTAATTTATATATATAATTTTACTTTTATTATTTGTTTATTTTAAAAAAATATAAATGGTAACGTCAAATATGCATAATTATATATTTATATTAAATAATAAAATAAAAATTAAAAATTAAAATAAAGTAAATAATAAAAAATATGGTTTTAAAAAGTGCAAAAGACATAACTATCACATAATCACAATAAAATGTGTCGTTCCTTCAAATCTCAAAATGCATTAACGAGCGATGTTGTACTAAAGCTCCTTGCAATATATCTTTCAATGTTGATAAGCATGCAACTCTAAAAAAATTCATTATCCATTTTATTGCAAAGTGTTGTCTTGATGATATTCTTTGTAGAAAAAACTCTTTCATCACTTGTTGTAGAAACTGGGAGAGTCAATAGAAGTTTTACCGTTCGGAATATATATGGATAAATGTTTATTTTCCTAGTATCCACCAACCACTAACTTAGGTAATAGATTGCCAACAATTTTCTTAGACCTGAATTCCAAGATAACTCCACCTCATAATGACACAATTATGTTCGTAAATCATTTTTTTAACTTCCGTGAAATCCTCCGGATAAAATTTATTCACAAGATTGCAAAGGTCTTCAACCTTGAAAAACTTGTCACCATCTCTTGGCTCCAAAGCACAACCAAGAGTTAATAACTCTATCAACTTCTCATTAAATCTACTATTTAACTCTTGTAGTTGAACATCAATTGTAGCATAAAAAATTTCTACTTGATAATGATGTTCAACTGTAAAATGATCTTGTTGGCAACGAGTGTGACCTCCTCTTTCTCTATAAATAGAAATCATATCTAGGATATCTATGTTGCGACTTTTACAAAATAAGGTAACCTTCATAAAAAGATTATTCTATCCATCATCTCTAAATTTATGTAAAAGTATCTTTGAACTCTCAACAAGATGTAATGAATTCAAAATATCCTGAGATTTTCTTTGTAATGATTGAGAAAGTGAATAAGTTATTTCTAATATTTTCTTCATAAGATGTAAAATGAAGATAAAATTCAAAGGAAGTCAAAGTCTCTAAAGCTGTCGCCCCTTCTCCACGTTCAGAAGATGTACTTCATTCATCAATGAGCTTATATAGAACAACACAAGTGGCACTAAACATTTTTATCAAGCTTGAAATTGATCTCAAGTAAGAACCCCATCGAGTATCACTTGCCTTCTACAAATTACTTGTTTGATTCAAACCAGTTCCAGATTCAAGTTGTTCTTCTTCAATCAAATGATTTATCTTGTTAGAATAAACATTTTTTAGTTTTGATGCGCTTATATGATGCAAGAACAACATTAATAATAAAGGATAACTTGGAAAAAATTGATAAACATGTATGACCTCTTTTGTTGCAACTACTAGTGCCAACTGTAAACGATGGGCAAAACAATGCACATAGTAAGTAAAAGGACACTCATTGCTAAATAATGCTTGTAAACAATACCACTTTCCTCGCATGTTACTTGCACCATCATAACCTTGGCTTCGTATATTCTTTATGTCAAAGCAATAAAGAGAAAGAACGAAAAATATCTCATCTTTTAAAGTCACTGTTGAAGAATTAGGAAATGAATAATGTTAAAAAAACATTCCTTTACTAGATCGAAATTATCAACATACCATAAAATAATAGTCATTTGTTGTTTTCTTGACACATCCCCTGTTTCATCAATAATAACACAATTTTTTCCACCAATTTCTTCACGAATTGCTCTTTTAATTTTCTCTGCCAGAATATGTAAAATCTTCTTTTGTATCTCAGACGAAATGTAAGAAGCATTTTCTGGAGCATTTTCTAATACAACTTTTTAAACATCTTTATTATAAGAGGCTAATTATTTCACAAGTTCAAGAAAATTTCGTCAGTTAGATGAAAATTCACTATCGTCACGACCTCTTATTGGTAGTCATTGTAAAGCTAGCCAACGCAATGCATCTATAGAGGTTTCAAGTCTAAGTCAATTATTAGCAAATTGTAATGATGTTTGCTTATACAACACTTGTGGCAGGTGTCTAGACTACTTAAGAAAATCCTCCAATTCTTGCTCAACAATTTTATGAGGTGAATTAGGTTCTGAACCTATATGCATTGAGCTTTTGAATCACTTTTGTTGTCTCTGTATGTGTTGATGTTGTCGAGGAAGCTTCTTCGGTTGATAATGTTTTGTTGTTTTTTAAGCTTTAATCGCTTAACTGGATGCATCTTTTTCTTTTTGTGGTTGGTGGTGCCTTTTGTTCTTGAGTTGCTTTTAATTAGGTGGTGGTGATCTTTGATTGTTTGGATTTTGTTTCTGATCTGGTTTGATTGTATTGTTCTCTTATGTAGTACTCTTTTCCTCCACTTAGATTAGGGAGGTTTTTAACGAGGCTCATAAGTTGAACTTCGATTATTGATTTTATTAATAAATTGTCCTTTGCCGAGCAAAAAAAAATAACAACTTTTTCCATTTACTTTCTTCCAATTTCGAAACCCATTCACAGTGAAAGTCTTGTGTGATGGATGATTATCTGGTTTGTTAAAAAGAAAACAAATAAAACATAAAACAACATCATTTTCAGGAGAATAATCTAACCATGAACGAAAGTTTTTGTACCAGGAAGCTTGATATCGGCGAGGGTGAGAAACATGTCCAAATTTTTTGAATTCAGAGAGTACTGGTTGATATGGACCCTCACAATATAAGTTCTTCGAATAACATTTCTTTCTTGTTCAGAAAGATACTCATATTTGTTTGCACTTACTAGGATCTCGCTCCAAGTAATTAGAGTCGGTACTTGATTTCTGATTTCTAGCTATCTTTAAAGGTCTATTTTCCAAAGGTGAAACGTCAATCGGTGTACCAGTTGAAGTTTTAGTTGTTGTACTTGTATTTTTTGAACTTTCCCCACTTTTTCTCTTAAAAAGCTCAATAATTGCTGAATTTTTTCTCATGACAAGTTACATTTATATAAAATTAATTCACGAACATAAAAAATAAAAATTGTAATCACCATTCACCTTAACAATTATTAGATTAACTAAAGGAATACTAAAATTAAATATAAGATCAAATAATTTTAATTAAAAAATAATAAATATAATATTATTTAATTACGTACCTTTAAAAATTGAGTGTCGAACAATGGAGAATCTGATTAAAGCAATATCGGAGGAGCTTTAGTCAATGAGAGAGTGATTAACTCAAGTTTTTTCTATGAAATATTTTAATATTTTACTCTATTTATAAGTCTTTTGTCGGCTTCTACAATTATATTAATACTATGATAAAAAAATATAACATTGGAGTAGGGGTCGGGGTCCCTTGGGCCCAAGGGCCCTCCGTCTCTGCCTACAACCCTTCTTTTATTCAGTATAATTAAATATTAAAGCAGAGCAAAACTCCAACTCCCTGCAAAATTAGCTGGTCTTTATGTGTTTGAGGCTTTGAGCTGTTCAGTCACCATTTTATACTTGCATCCGAAATGAAGAGAGATGTAGTCATATTCTTTGGGTCCTGTCCTGTGAAAGGAAGCTCCATGCAATGTGACAATAACAGAGACACTTTTACAAATCCATCTTGTGATTTATCTTTCATAACAACAGTAGACTAGTTCAATCTGTTGAGGCAAATGAACCACTATATATATTAATCGCTATTTACAAATTACAAACTCTCCAAAATAAACTAATTTTAACCTATGCTAAAGACCTTTGGTAACGAAAATCTGGAGTTTGTCTCTTAGCAACCAAAGGACAATGTCAAAACCTAAGCTTTGATGACTTTCTCTTGAGGAAACCTGACCCTGAAAACATGCTCTTCCCCAGTGCATTTATCCACCTTTACAACCCATTGACTCCTCTTCCCCAAAGCATTTGGAGTACTAATTCTAGTGACAAGCAGTCCTCCTCCTATAGGCAGCAGTTGAGTTCTCGATCCACTCGACCGCCAAGAACCTTTAGCGATTGCATTGTATCCCACGACGACAGCACCATTTGGTTTCGTACCTGCCTGCGCTGCTTTAAGGATTCCTTCATGATCCTCCAGGTTGCAATCCATGAGCACGAAATCGGCTTCCTCATATTTGCTTACCAGTAGATCTTGAGTTTCACCGACAACAAACTCGATATGGCACGCATCATATCCAAGGATTTTCTTGGATATTTGAAGTTGTTCGATTCCAGGGAGAATGCAAACAACACGGCCGCCAGTGTGATTAGCGGCAGCCACTAAAGCTAAACTGGTATAGTCTGCAGCACCGGGGTATGCCGCTACCATTAGTTGTGCATTGTTGCCCGCCGCCAGGGCAGAAATGAATTCGGCTACGTTTGGCTCTTTTGCCTTGTGGCTCTGCAGATAGATTACATGAAAACCAAGTCAGATAAGATTCATAGAGAACGTGAAAACTCATATATATATATATATGTGTGTGTGTGTGTGAAGGAAAGTTACCATTTTGAGGGTTTTGATGTATGCTTTTGTGGCATTCTCAGCAGACCAGAAAGCCATTTGGTTTCTTGTTTTGTATATAAGCAAATAAAGGGTGTTACAAGCTTTTGTTCAAATGATGGATGTGTTGGTTAATGGAGAGTGGGGTTTTATATAGCAGGAATCCAAGGAGGAGGGTATCAAATTCAAACCTGCACAATTAATATTAATGCTTGCTAAGCTGTTGTGTTTTGTTCTTTGTGAAGAGACGGGAGAAATTTTCAAATGAAATTAGAAAATTAAAGAAAAAAACACACACACAGAAATGCACTAAATTAAGCTGATATTAATATACTACCCCAAGGCTCCCATGTTTAACGCTGCTCACAATCAAATTGTGCCATCAAGTCCTTCATGTTCTGTCAATTCCACAATTAGATCTTCGTGACCGTCAAATCCTTGATCAGGTAATCGTATGATATTTTGATATTACGCGGTAAGTTGGAGTAAACGTTTTATGCTTTATATGATCTTTTAACTGTGTTCTTTTTTTAAGTATTTCTCAAAACTCATTGTAAAGTAGAGAAACAACAATACGATAATGCCATCTCACGTATATAAATTTCATTGTTGAAAATTCCAATTGACAATAATTTTAATATGACAATAATTTTAATAATACAATATTACGTATGAAAGTGATTATAAATGATTGAATTTGTATCTTTATTAATTAAAAAAAAAGGATATACAAATTTTATAAACTTAGTGAGAAAAAGGTGATACAAGATAAATAGTAATCTATGGTGGCAACATATAAAAACTTTCACTTCAACCATGGTTCATTGGGGGCATGAATGTGCTTCTGAATTTTAATTGATTATTATAATCTATGAACAAGAAAGAATAAAGTACCCTAGGTGTACTTTTTCTTTATCTTACAGTATTCTCTTAAAGTTATTTATATCTGTAATCAAAATAGTATCTAACATTATAATTAGAGTTCGATAATTATAAAGGATTGAAATGGAATTTTTTAAACAAAGATAAAGATAATACAATTATAATTTAAAGAAATGTCTTGAGATTTCTTTTGATGACGATCAGGAACGAATGCAGAATCTTATATCCAGGCAAATGATTCATAAAATATTGAAATGAAAGAAAGTTCATTTTGTGCATCCAAAATACTCTTCCCTTTACCTCAAAGAAGGAACAATGGAGTATTATAAAAACAATCCTTTGCCCCCTCAAACCCCCAACACAGAGATGTAGATCAGATCAAGATGCCTCCTTCCCCACATGGATATATACTCTCTCTCTTGCATTATCAGATGCTCCCAACTTGTCCCATTTTGTACAACGTGGTGTTTTGGTTTTTATAATACACTGAATTTCATATTTCTACTTAACGAAAATTCATAAATTAATTTAATTAAACAACTTTATCATATAATTAAAGTATTGACTTAGCAATTAACGAATTAGTAATTTATCTGCAATAAATTGGGGGAAAATAAATCATTCAAATCAATGTGTTTACCAACACCTAAATTAATTTATGTTTTGATGAAGCACTAGGACCGATTTTTGAAAAATCAAACAGATTAATTTCTTAGTTTCTGTAAAATAGAAGGATGAAATCATAATTAAACCAATTTTTAATAAACAAATAAATAAATTGGGTAAAATACACAAATGGTCCCCGGATCATAGGTATTACTTTGTTGAGTTACTCGACTATTAAAAGTTACAAAAAAGAGTAATTTTATTATTCATATGCTCCAAACTCATCATTTTTCATTAAAAAATATGATAATCTGACCAGGACGTTAACCTATTGGCTGAGATATTATAAAATACGATCCTAGAATCTCAAACGACTATACAACTGAAACAGTTGTGAGATCATTTTTTTATCATATCTAAGTCAGCAAGTTAATATCTAACTCAAAGGACCGTTAATTTTTTAATAAAAGGAAAAGTTTAGAATATATGAATGCTCAACTGGTCATTTTATAACTTTTAATAGTCGAGAGACTCAAAAAAATAATATCCTATAGTCAAGAAATTATTGTGTAACTTTTAATAGTCATACTTTACCCATAAAAGGTTTACCTACCGTTTTAAGACTTTTATAGACGGAAACCGGAAAACTTTTGTCAAAGGAAAAAAATCAATTTGGAATCATTTTCCTTGATCTTCTATTTGATTGGCGGAAACCAGAAAGAAAATGAGAATGGGAAGGAGAGCAGAAATGGAGGGAACCCATAAAAGTAAATAAACAAGTTGTGGATTTAAGTTTAATTCAAGATTCTGGCAGCAGGAAACATGTCGGCATGTGTCAACAATATATAATACACTTTTTTTTAGTATCAGGGACTACGTCGTTTATTAAACCTTTTTTAAAAATTTCATCCTACTTATTAAAACATAATTTGGTACCAAAAATCCTAGTTATTAAAATTCCTAGATGCGCTCGGACGAAAATGTTTATGAATAAGATGGTTTGTTTGTTAGCTATATTACTTAGATTTTTAAGGTTAATTAACGAAAAATTGAAATTTAAACTCTTTAAAAATCAAAACGATTGATTTGATAGTATGATTAACGAGATAATTATACATGATATAATTTTATCTAGCGTGTTCTAGAGGAGAGGTCAAAAATGAAATGAATTGAAATACACAATCTGACAATAACATGTGTGTCAAAGAAAAGATGGTATATGATTAAAGGGGAATTGTCCCGATGTTCAAATGTCTGAAGCCCAAACCACGCATAGATGATTTGCCCTTTACGGCCGTATGGTCCCAATTCTCTTGCATTTGGTGTCTGATGGAGGCCCATTAGTGCATTTCAATTTGTACGAGTTTTAAAGCCTATAGTTATATGTAGGGTTTTCTTGCTAGACCCCTTTTATTAGGTGATATATTATTAACATAACGTTTAAAATTGGATCCTCGATCAATGACGGATCAAGAAATTTAAAAATAATGGTTTAAAAATTTTAATATATATATTTTTTTAAGAAATGGGTGTGTAATTTTTTTCTCATTCTCTTAATATATTGAACTATATTTAATAACTTATCTAAAATAGCGGGTATGCATTTAGTTTCTTAGAGGCCAAGTGCATCTGCCCCTGTTTCAAACAATTATTCTTTTCTAAGGATAATATCATTAGCTTATAAATATATGGATATTTAAAACTGATACTTGACGATTGTTGGTCCAACCACAATTGTGTCTTTAACATCATATTATGTTCCAACCACGTAATATTCTGATTCAAATCCGTTTCATAACAAAAGGTAATACTAATTGAAGTGGATCTTTGGTTGTTCAAAAAATCAAAAGCAGTTGGACCCAGAGGTAGAAGGGCGCATGCACGTGCGTGGGGGTGAACAATCGGGTCTACGACGTATGTATAATGATAATGACACTCGTGCACATAGTTGATGGGCAAAGGAAAAGCAATTGGAGTGGAGGAAGAGAGAGAGCATTGTTTGTAAATGGATGGGACCATTTGGTTGAAGGAATGTTGATCAAAAGTGGAACAATGCTCCTTCATTTCTTATCAAAACCAGAGGCCTTCTCTCATTACATGATTCTAAAAACTTTTGTGAGTTAATTTGGTTATTAAGAAAGCAGTTGTAGTGGGATCTTAGTAATGCACACTTCTAAGTTGGTCCGCATCAACAAGGAGCCAGACAAAACCTTTCAATATTTTCTCTTTTGCCTTCAATTAAAAATTCTTCGTAATGGCTCGTACTCTACCAAATACCAATGGTAGTCTTGGATGCACTCTACGAACAAAATTTTTAGAGTTAAAAGCATAATTTTATGATTGTATTAATTTGAATTTTTATAATTTATGTAAAATCACATTTAATATGATTTTTCAGGCACGTTGATAAAAAGTTAATACTTTATCCCCAATGCATTTTTTTAATGCATTATTAAACATACTCTTAATTAGTAAACATAAAACTTAATATATATATAGAGAGAGATCCACATACACCAAATGTACAATTTTTAATTTTACAATTTTAAGTTCATTGGATGAATATAAATAGACGGTTGAGATTATCTTCTTGCTTTTGTTAGTAAATATCTTCTCATTTTCTACTATTAAATTCAATCGTCTGTTCCACTCATCTAATGATCTTAAATAGATGTAAAATATTTTAGTTTTACATCAAGTATAAGTAGATATCATATATATATATATATATATATATATATATTAGTACCTAAGTCGCATCAAGTGAATAGAGTCAATATTGGACAACTCCTAGATGTCGGTCTGTTATTATTATGATACATTGTTTAGACTAAAATCTGATTGTTAAGTAGACAGTGAATCTAAAATCTTCCTAGACTTCGGATACCTAAGAATATTTGGTTCATTGCATTCATCCAAACATACATATCTCCATTCCATCTTATTTAATTAGAAAAATTCTACAACGTTTTTCCAACGTAAATGAGCAATGATAAATATCATTAAATTAATTTATAAAATATTAAATTATAAACTACTAAACCTATATAACTTATAAAAATCTAAATGTAATTTAATTAAAATGTAATATTTATAAATCATTAGTTTTTATGGTAAATTATATCATTGACCACATAACTATTTACCCATTTTACTTTAACCACCAATTTTTTACTTTTTTCAATCGGGTCACCTAACTATTTAGATCTTGTCAATCAAGCCACACCGTTAAATATTAACGGAGGAGATGACATGGCAGTTAATAAAATTTATATAATTACACATTTAAGTCCTCATTACTTACACATTCTATTAATTTGGTCCTAACTTTTAATTAATTCAATAAATTTAATCCTCAATCAGATAGTGACATGTACCACTATGTGATTGGATTTTTTTCTTAATATTTTTATTTAATTTAATAAATTTTCATCCAATCAAATGATACAACTTGTCACCAATTGAATGAATAGAAAATAAATTGAATCAATGACCGCTGTTGGTAGGGTTTGAACCCAAGACGTCAAGAAAGGAAACAAACGCCCCAACTACTGGGTTGCACCATTCAAATGACAAACCTATCACGACATAATATTTAT